AAAATTAATTTGTTTACGACGGAAAAGCCAAAAATACATTTGCAGGGCCTGATGCTGAGTCAGCCACGCAGATGAGTCAGCTGTCAGGCTCAAGTGACATGCTGACTCAGCACACTAACCCTAAAAGGGAGAAAATGAAAAAAAAATTAAAAGAATGTTGAGAGATGCGCGATTCGAACGCGCGAATCAAAAGAAATCAGGGTAAGAAATACGATCACGTAAGCCTAAACCTGACGCCATAACCACTCGGCCAATCTCCCATTTACTTGGGCGTTTGGAGGCGCAGTTGGTGAAGTACTAAGGGGAATGCCAAGCTGGCTGCTGAAACAACATAAAGAGACTCCTTCCCGGTTCCGCATGGCATGGAGTTTGATATAGATTTGATATAGATAAACTGAACCCATCAGGGGTTTGCTTAAACGTGCCTGAATAGACAAATTCATCCGCGGGAAACTGACAGCCCATACCCATAGGTTAAGCCTATGGGTTTGGCCTCGGCTATGGGGAAGCCGTTGTCATTGTCACTGTGATTTTATATCAGTCTGATTCAAGAGTAAACAGCGAGGAACAACGAGATACAGGCGAATAGATCTACGATTAAGGCTACTCCCTATCCCAGTCCATGTCAATGTCGATGTCCTCAGCGCCAACGCACCCCTTGAACTCCCTCGTCTCGATCTCCTTGTCCAGTGCCTCAAATAGTCTGCTGAGATAGACCTTTTCTCCCGGAATCTCCAGGCCAGTGTCCATGCCAGAGAAGATAGCCGCTTCAAAACACGACCGAGCCAGCTTGACGACTGGCGGCACCCCAGATCTATACAGGTCTTTGAATCGCTGTCTCCAGAAGAGCCAGCGCTCAATACTAAATCCGGGCTGGGTAATACCCGCCTGTACCGCAAGGTCACCCGGCACAGTCATGCTATTATCGTTGTCCTCCTCACTGTTGATACCACCACCGGAAGCGTATGTTGCTGTGTAATTTTCCTGTGAGAGCTTGACCAGCTTGCTGTTGCTATGCTCCAGCCAAGCCAGACACGCGGGTAGGAGGTCGTGGATGGTAGGACGAGCCTTGTCGTCCTGTCCATCATCCTCCGCGACTGGCCTGTCGGTTTCGAGAGCCTGCTTGAATAACCACAATGCGCAGCGGCTGAGATCCTTCGGACAGATACCTGTCGCACACAACTTTGCCGTCCACACAGCAACGCTCTCTCGCTCCGTTGGTGTGAATTCCATAGACTCCTTGGTCCACGAATCCTTCACCTCCTGCGCCAGGTAAGGGAGATCAATCCATAGCCTTTGTCCGTTGGGCAATGTCACTCCCTCGCGCTCTGGCGCAGCGTCTCTGTCTGCCTGATTCTGAGTGAAGATCCCGAACTCACGGGTCTCCGATACCAACGTGACAAGTCGATCAAGTTCGGCACTGGTGGCTGGCGTGATCTTCACTGCATGAATGAGCTCGTCCCAGATATCATGCAGCTGGCTCTCTATCTCCACCGCTGTAAAGCCGTCACTGAAATATCCTCTTCTCACCCCGCCGATGGCGTTGCGGAGGTTTTCCCATGTCTCCTGCGCCTTGGCTGGGTCTGTTTCGTAGTCTTTGCGCTTTTCCTCTCGCGTGGAGCCGGGTAAGGCACAAGTTCCGCTGGGACAGTCCATGCTGGCTGCAAGTAATGAAAGAGCAGAGAAAGCAAGGGCGCAGGAAGATGGGGCTGGCTTGAAGAGGACTCAATTTTGGATATTGATCCTGACCGGCAGTCGACTTGTTTTTGTATGGAACCCCGTCCACTCAACGTGGTCTTTGTGACGATACGTTACACTGCAGACAAGCCAGCAGTAACAGTGAACGTATGGATATGTCAAGGGTAGACTGATAGGTGGTTGTTTTGAGGTCGTGAAAATTGGCCTTTTCGAGGTCAGTGTCGGTTATGCCGAATTTGGAACTAAGCGTCGTCGACCTCACTGCGCTGAAAACGCGGACTCAACCATCACAACAACAAAGATATCAACCAGGACAACAATAACCCGGCTCGCAGCTATACTATAAATCCCCCACTATCTTCGTATAGTACTACTTCGTCCTGTCATATCAAATGTGGTTCCATCAAAGAATGTTGCCGATCTGGGAGCGTGACATTCCTTAGAGCACCAAGTGTATACCCCTAGGCCCTGTTATTTTCATACATACTGGTATTCTGGAGGAGCTCTGTATGATGGTCAGGCTGGAGTACAACTGCGAGCAAATGGACGTACATACCGTTGATACCGCCGTGGAGCTATTACCAATTTGATACTCGTCAACTCTCCATGCATTGAACCGGAACGTGCTCGGATCATACCAAAGGATCAATTCATATATATACCTCTTTCTCTTGTTTTTGGGCAACAGTGTTCAAGAGGTGAGGGTATTTACCCAGTATTTTAATCCCGAGGTATGGGAGGACGGAGTATATATGGATCCTTCAGTAAATACCTCACACAACTGAGCTGGACCAACACATATCTACTATAGATGATATGGTCTCGGAGCTCACGATATCACGCTGAGCAGTTATACCATGAAGGAAGAGGAGAATGAACGGTTCTAGCCGATGTTATATATCTGCTTGCCATCAGATATATAAAGCCCTCATCTACCACCGTCGACGCCATCTTGATCAAGCCATTCAAACACAGAACTGAACCAAGAGATATCTAAACCATCCAAGCCTATCTTAGCAATGAAGCTCAACCTGGTTCTTCTCGCAGCCTTCCTGGCAGCCCCTATCTTTGCAAACACCATCCCTGAAGTCAGCGAGGCCGTCGACCTTGCTGACCGCGACATGTCTGCTGTTGAAGAGGGGAATCAACTCACAGCCAGAAAGGTGCGGTTTCTGTTTCCTAAGCAAGGTGTTTTATGCAGTCTTGACACCATGCTAACCTGGACAACGGCAGATATGCCTTGGAAGTTGCAATAGGAACGGATGCCACTGCACCAGGCCATTGAGAGTGTGTTCATGCAACAGAATCGGGGAGATATGTGCCTGTCGCTAGAGTACGGGATGCTTTCCCTGACCTCCCATTGCTCTTGGTTGTCCTGTTTTCGGTATTACATATGTCTGAACAACATGTCGACGAGCTTCATTAGCCCCGGGCACCATGGCGGCCTGAAAAGAAGGACTCGGGGTATGGAGAAGTGATATCAATAGTTGAATTTTTGAATGAAGGCGATGTACCCGCAGGGTTCTCGTCTGGTATCAATGATAATCATAGCTGGCCATGGCCAGATAGCAGCACCTCCTTTCAATGATATAACTTGCCCATTCATTTACAACGAAGTAACTATAAAACGTATGTAACCACGGACGGACATAGGGATGACGCTTTGTTTCAACCAGCCCTTAGTTGAATCCAATAACGAAACATGCGCTCGCCCCCGCCATGAACTAACTTCTGGCCGACGATCGAGGATTAGGTTCCTTTCATCCTCAATCCCAGTCCTCGCTATGATCCGAGAAGCTGGTTTTGTGCAATAATTAATTTCAAGAGCAGATATGTGCCGAGGAAGAAGCAAGTCGGCCGATCAACCACCCTCAAGCCGATAAGTGTTCATATAAATTGAAGCTTCTTGCTCTTCCATGAAAAGCCCTCCTGCAAACGGGAGCATATCATATACCAGCCACAGCCGTGGGGAACAAGATGCCAGATAGTCTGCAAGCCACCGACAACTTTATACGGAGTAGGTATGGAGAAGCTGTGAGTAATAATGAGCTTTGATCTTGAAATCATAATTCGAGGCTCGATACCCGTGTCGATCCCTATCAATATGCTGATCACGGTTTGTCGGAATCAATTAACTTGCGGCAACGATACCTTGAGCGTGAGTTTGCATCATCGGTAAACAAACGCATAAACAACATGAAGAGATGTTAACCGATCGCTGAATTTTTGGCGTCTCTGGATGCCTGTCGTGGGATGGTATAAAATTCAGGGGTAAAAATACAACAACCCCTTATACCAACTTCACCCACGCCAATGGCCACAGATACCCAGCACACGAACAAGAGGACACCAAAGCTTAAGAGGTGCGGGCTGACCGCAAGGCTTAGTTTCTATCTTGTCCCGTCTTGATCCCGTTGAAGCACGGATGGCTATCTGGGCATTCTATATTAGATATCTACACATACGCGCTGCGGCGTATTAATGATATAAATATACTGCTTGTCTGCCCTCTATCAAATCAATCTCTCCACTCTCGTCCAACGTTGCCACCCAATAGCCGTGGGAAGATCAAACGTGCACGACGCTGCAAAATGGGATAGAGTTCAATAAGGACGGTAAGGAGTCAAGTCTGGGGAAGAAGATGGAGGCGGGAGATGGATGGCTCAAGCCTGGTGCACAAGCATGCCCAAAGCACGGCAACACGAGCAATGCAAAAAGCAATAACTAAGGATCGGCTGGACGAGATGAAAATGCGTGGAATTGATTGATGAAGGGACTGAGGCAGGAGGGAGACAGATAGGGGGCAGAGACTCGATTGGAAGGAGGTTTTGCAAGATGGAAGAAAAAAAGATAACAGCTTGTTAGGATAGCATGATAAATGCAGCGTACAGTACTATGTGAGTATGTGGTGGTAAGAGGTAGTGTGTGTGTGTGTCCTTGTCCTGTCTCATTCCGCTATGTACATCCAATCATCGATCAAACTCCGTCGCAAATGGTAAAAAAAACAAAAAGGTAGAGGATTGAGCCCACCCACCGAAGAAGAGAAAAGGTATTAAAGTTTAAGAAGTAAATATGGAAGAAGAGGTAGAGAGAGCAAATGGTAATGGCATAAGAGGTTTTTCAAGGATCAATCGGTCAATCAAATCACATCGTGAAGAGCCAGCCATGCAAAGAGAGGGTGGACACAGTTAAGAAGTTAAGTAAGCACATCAATCAGAATCAAATCAATAACGACAAATAAGAAAAGTGGTGAACAGGAGATGGATGTCTTCCATGTTCGGAGCTCAGAAAGAGCGCGATGCTTAGTTGAGGTAAGCGAAGGCGACGAGACCAGCCATGATGAGCGCGAGCGGGCTGGACAGGGCGGTCAAAGAGGCTGCGTTTCCAGTTGGAGTAGCACTTGGAGTGAGAGTAGCGCTCTCGGACTGGGAAGTGAGGGTTTGCGAAGACATGGTGGTCATGGTGGTATGGTTGGCAGAGTTGGACATGGTCATGCTGGCATGAGGGGTGGAGGTAACAGCTGGCTTGGTTACTGGCTTTGAGGGCTCTCCAGAAGAGCTAGACGAAGGAGCGGCAGTAGTGGTGGAAGCAGGGGCAGACGATGGAGTGCCGTGGCCGCCAGTGATACTGAAGAGGCCGGTGTAGTTGACTTTGTCACCCTGCTTGATCTGGAGAGCATAGTCGGGGCCTGAGGGGAGGGATGAAGGCAGAGTGAAGGTGCAGGAGCCGCCAGTTGCATGGGCTGCTATCATGTTAATATCTGTCTTTTTGCGCTGGGTTATATCATAACATTCGGCTACAAGACTTACGGCACACGGTAAAGACATCGTGGAGGTCGTCATATGGACCCTGGCGCAAAATAATGTCAACGGGCTAATAAATGGTGTGTCAGTACTGTGTCTTCTTCAATGCATTTTCAACAAGAATGGAAAACATACAGCGCTAGGGTCGCCTCCAGCCCAGGTCACCGTAATGGGCTCGCCAACCCTCGAGTCCTTGGGGAATGTGGTGAAAGCGGGACCTTCAGCAGCAACGGCGGCAATGAGAGCCGCGCCGGCAAGGAGAGTCTGGAAGAGCTGCATTGTGATGGTTGGTTTGGTATTAAAAAGGCACCGGAAATAGATTAAAATTAGGCGAGGGTATTAGGTATTGACGCGAGCGGGCGCTGTGCTGTATAGATGTTTTGGTTGAAAGGACAGTGGTAGCTGATCTCGTAAGGACTGTTTGTGTTGCTTGTAGGGAATGACAATAAGCAGCGACACCGTGAGCTGATTAAATTAAAAACCGAGATGAGGAGGAGAAGAGAGGGAAGAAGAGAAAGAAAAAGACGAGCAGGAGGTGGAAAGGAGAGAGAAGAAAAAGGATTCCCGTCTTGCCTCTCTATCCTTTTTGCTTCCACCTGCGCTCGCTGTCGAGGTTTGCTTTTGGCGGATGGAAGAAGCTAAGTGGACTAGCGAACCTTGCCCCTTTAGGCCCAGATGCTGCTGACCCCCTGGTCTATAGCAATTGGGTTTCTTTTCTTTTTTCTTCTTCCCTTTTTTTTTTTTTTCTCCAGCTTCTGTTTCTTCTGTTTCTTCCGTTTTCTCTTCTGTGCCTCCAGAGACGGCTCCTTTGTTACTCGTGAGAACGAGAGGAGCACGGGGGGCGGATGGAACCTGTCCCATCTTGATCTCATTACCCGTTCGTCCTTGTGGTAGTCTGTACGGGGCATCAGAGAGAAGGGGAGTACTCCGTAGTGCCTGGCAGGGCAGACGGTGAAGACAGTAAACAGTCGTCTGATCCAGGCCCCTATCCAATGTCCGTGGCTCTCGGCCCTTATCCCTGTCCCCATCAAAAAAGGCCTATTTTATTATTATATCCAACCAGCGGCGTTCCTCGCGCCTCGAAAAGGTCTTCCCCACGTCCAGCACTTCCTTCAACCAGCCCAATACAGCGTTTTTATTTGTGGGTCGGCGCATGCCCTTCTGCAGCGCTGTCCTCCCTGCCCTGTCTGTGAGCCTGTGAGCCTGCGAGCCTGGTTCTTGTCCTCCCTTGAGTGGATTAATAGCCATCCAATGCTAAGCTCCAGGACGGGTTCTTGTGTATATTTGCTTCTTCTCAATTTTATTTTTCCTTTTCTCGCTCTTGTTTTCTTCTTCCTTTCCCCCTTCTTCTCTCCAAACAGCCTTTGTTTGGTCAGCTGGATGGGAGCTCAGAACGTTGTTGGCAGATTACTGTTGGCATTGCGGCGTACATATGTGAGCTGGCTGGCGCAAAGAAGAGAGAGGAATACGGATAAAGAGAAGAGATTGACGGTGAAGTCAAGCGGAGCTGCCACCATCAATTAGCTTCTGCAGTGAGAGGGACAGAGTACGTATGCAGTATAAGATAGGCTGGTAATGCCGGGTACCTGCTTGGTACCTGCCAGCTTTGCTCCGCAGGCCGTTCTCGTTCGACAGAGTTAGAGTGCATACTGATGCTTGGTCCTCCGCTTGTTTCCTCTTCCCATGTCAGGGCCGGACGAGTTCGATACCCAGCCCGTCGTTCAGACACGGCTCCGCGTTCGCCACCGCCGGGAAGCCATGGAATGGGGACACTCGTTGAAGTCATTTCCGTTGGCTAGTCGAGGTTACATGCCATGTACAGAGTAAGTACTCCGTACGCACCCTATATTCTAGCTTTGTTGCCGCTGCTGCGCTCATTCAAGCTAGGCCGTCCCTCTTGGGATGCCTGTACTGCCTGGTGTAAGACACCAACGCATAATCCATATATTTAACGGCGATCCGTCGCGCTTGATTCATTTTAATATATTATACCGTCCTAGCACTGAGACCTCGTCTCCAGACCTTTGTATATTATATACCAATAATATATAACTTGGACAGTACGGAGTATTAATGCTCCATCCAGGCGGAGTTGGGATTCAACGACTGACGTTGTTGATGTTTGTGTTTTTTTTTATGGAGAAGAAAAGAAGAAGAAAAAGGGGAAAGTTCGGGATATCCGGCTTATGTAATTATGTTATGTAATGTTATTACATAAGTAAACGCCAAGAGCAGAAAAGAGCGAGGGTGAAAAACCAACTGGACCATGCCAAGACTTGCCTTGTTCGGAAATATCGCGGCTTCATCATTTAACGAGGCCGAAGCTGGAAACATAAAAGACACGCACGGCGAGGATATCAAGCAAGCAGAGGATGCGGGAGGGTGCGGCGAGAGCAGAGCTGGGGGGACTAAAGCTGCTGGGCTGGAACTTGTTTTGCTTGAGGCTATAGTCGCACAATATTGAGTAACATGAAGTCTGATCCAGTTTTATATGATGCTAACAAGGTACTATTAGAGATGACGGCCATATGTCAAACATTGCACCGATTAATTCCATTCATTCGTGCCAAACAGGCTTATACCCAGCTCTACCTCACGATGAGAGCTTCATTTGGTTTACTCTATGGCAGAGTAGCCTGAACATGGAGAGGAAGGAGGCAAGAAGCTGAGAGTGGTTGCTGCTTCTGCCGATACAGCAACCCGTGGGATAATATTTATCTTTCATGGAGGCCTCTTGTTTACTCTCTCTCTCTCTCTCCATCAACACAACTCTCGTTATCATATCAAGCAGTACATTCGCTTCTATCTCTTGAAGACTTTATTATACCCGTCAGGTCACTCGTTTCTGACACCACACTCGTTACGTGCACACGGTCATCTATACCATTCCCCATTCAAGATGAGTACCGACTCGGGATACTGCAGCTTACAGTCTTCTCCATATTACAAGGAGCTGCAAAATGGCTATTTTACAGCTGTACCCGATGTTTCAAGCGCTTCATCGTTCAGCGCTTCCGACTCCCCAGTCTCGCTCCAGTCGTTCCAAACTGGCACGCCACCGGGCTCAATATCTGACATTCTTGAGACTCGCAAGGAGGCCAAGGAAATACTTCTGATATACCGTACTACCCTGGCTGAGCTTGAGTTAAGACGCATGAGCGGCTCTCGGAAGGGGCTGCAGAGATGGGTCGAGTACTGGACAAATACTTACAAACCGGACTTTGCCCGTCCTCTCTGCCAAAAGATCGAACTCGCCTGTCCGGAAATCAACCGTATCTTCAGGGAGGCCGCCCAGGATGTCTACCAGATCATCAATGAGATTGATGCGTGCATCACGTCCGCCTCTCATCAAGATGAAGTACGAGACTTGATGGCAAGCATGAGGTGCCGTATTCATCGGATTGTCAGTGAAAGGCGGGTGCGGGCCAATCAGCTCATGGAATGGCTTAGGTGTGACATCGAGTCTACACCCGTGGATATACAGGACAAGATGTTTGATCGGTTAAAGAAGCAGGTCTATGGCCTGGACCCATCAGGTCATTACCACCCTAACCCCGAGGATGAGGAACGTGAGGAACGTCAGGAACGCCAGGAACGTGAGGACCAGGTGGAAGAAAATCAAGAAGAGACTATCGAGGAGCGTCTCCGACAGCAGATGGGCCTTTTGAACATGGCTACTCTTCCTGACAGTCTAAGGCAGGTTATTGCAGTGGACAATGCAAGGAGCCAGTGGGCGCATTATGCTACACAAGGAGAAACTTTTGCCATGAACAACGCCGAGGGAGTGGCGTGAGTGGCCCAAAGGCACCTTGGGATATTTGCTCGCTTTTACAACAATATTGAACATTCGTTTCAAGGGCTGGATTTCTGTTAGCCTTTCGGCATTATTATGTTGTCAACTTTTCACTACAATGCCTTGTTAATGTTATCATGCAAATACTTGTCACACACACTCTTTCGTTTTGACCCACATAACGTATCGGTAATAGAATCAAAATGGCATTATTGTTGAATGATTGCTTATCATTTCTAACTAAAAGTCCCACAACTCTCGGAGCATATGTCCAGGCTCCGTATCCTCTTCTCTTCCCTCTAGTCCGCGATCAGTAAATATTCTCTTGGGAATCTGAAACTCCACCACAGGAGCCTTTTTAAATGCCTTCTCCTCCTTCCCCAACTCCGTGCCTAGAAGAGCCTGATAAGAAAGATCTAGAAAGTCCTCAACGTTATAATGCTGCTTAGTGAATTGCTCAGATATAATCCTGGCCAAAGCCGCGGTATTCGGGTGGTAATGAGATTGCAAAGTCTCAATCTCCCACAAACTGCTCTCAATAGCGTTTGTGAGCGTTGGATTGGGCTCACACGCATCAAACGGATCATCCATACCCTCCTCCTCTATCTCCTCATACAGCGATGGATCATGTTTCTTCAAATCCCGATGAATCATAAACGTGCATGTTGGATGGGACTTGAGCATGTTATATATCCAGGGCACAATCGCCACGATCGCAGCAGGCGGTGCATTAAGCGCCAATCGCGAAAGCCGCTTGATAAAGCTCGCTACAAGCGTGGCGGGAAGATGCGAAGAAGCAAGGAAAGTATCCATCAGCCTGAAGAACCGGGACCGATGTTTGGAGTGCAGCACATCCCTGTCTAGTAGCGAGTATAGTTTTGTGTAGAACTGTGGGTAGTCCAGGTTCTTCTCCTGGATGAGGTAGAAGAGCCCCGATAGCGAGAGCAAGGAAGTCGACCCGCCTTCGTTGTAGCAGTCTGTTAGAAAGTCCATTAGGAGCTCTGGTTTTGCGAACCAGGGTACGACGACATGCGACATTATGCGCAGGAGGTGTTTGCGTTGCGATTTGGTCATTGGGTTACGTAGTACGGCGAGCCAGGCTGTTTGTACGCGGATCTTGAAGGAATTCTCGGAAGTGAAGGGGCCTTTGTTCTTTGGGCTGATTTTCGAGGTGTCGGTGTAGGTGGTTTCGAAACGTTGCTGGAGATCGGTTGGCTCGCCGATGTTGGAGAGCAGGTCGACTGTGCTGTCAAGTGTTTCTGCATCTCTTTGTTCGGATAGGTAGGTTCTGTTTTTTGTAGGTGTTAGTGCATATAATTGATGCTTGGTGAGTTGGTAGGTGAAAAAAACGTACGCAAGGCGGAGGACGGTGTAGACTGTGATGTCGTGGTATTTTTGGAAAAAGCTGTCCATGAAGTGCGCCCTGAGTTTGTCGTTGCCTGGCTGTACCACGGCAGCCAGGATATCGTTGAAATAGCCACTGGACCATACATTGATGTCTGATCCGGTATAATGAGCGACTTGTTCTTTGATCAATTGCATCGACAAGCTTAGAGCGGTAATCTACCAAAAGTCCAAAATGTTAGTGAATATGCAAACATGCAATGCAATGTGTGCCAGACATACCTGCTGAGACGGCTCTCCATCCCGCAAGATCCCAACCAAAGCTGTCTTGTATTCCTGGTATCTCTCCTTCAACCATGCGACCAGTTTAGTCTCATTCTCGACTGCGCTCTTGGGGGGGTTCAATTGCCCACCAGCCAGCAACCGGCAAAAGACCCGACAAAGAGAAACCGCAAGAGCCTTCTTTCCAGCCTTATCCGTGCTCGCATCGTCAAGTTTCGAGAGCAAGGTGACGATATTGTTGTAATATTTCCGGGATTCAGCAATCTGGTCCTCGAGCTCTTGTATGTGTTCGATCTCCAGCTTATCCTTCCCGTTCTCTCCCTCGACCGCTCTCCGCTTCATCGACCGACGAGCAGACTCTGAATCGCTCTTCTTCCTCTTCTTCGAGCCTTTCAGCTCCCCATTAACCGCTGACGCCATGGTGGTCCAGCTCAGCGCCCTTATTCAAAAGAACAACATAAATATATATCTATCCCTTCAGCAACTTTTTTCTCTCTCTTATCGCAGTTTAATCTTTTTTTCATGTCGCTTGTTCACACTAGTCCATTTCCGGCTAGCGTCCTGAATCACCCGAACTTCAACTTCAAACTGCAATCAAAACCTCCATCTTCGTCCATCACAGGCTCCAAACCTCTGCATCACCGCATCAACCACCCTCAAACGTACAACTACAATGGCGTCACGGTTGGCTAAGAGCGCCATCGGTAAGTGCACCCGCTACTCGGTCGGCCGCCATTGACCCTCGCACGCCCACTAATCGCCCTCCATCCCAGGCGCCGCTCGTATCCGTCCATCGGTTCTTCCACGATCTGTCCCAGCCCTGACCAGCGTCACTCCGGCGCGATACGCCTCGAACGTCCCCTCCGAGGACCCCAAGAACAAGGCCCAGTCGATCGTGGATGCATTGCCCGGCAACTCGCTTGTTTCCAAGACGGCTATTCTCTCCGGAGCCGCGGGTCTGTCGATTGCCGCCATCAGCAACGAGCTGTATATCCTGAACGAGGAGTCGGTCGTTGCGTTCTGTCTGCTCAGTGTGTTTTACGCTGCGTTCAAGCTTGGTGGGCCCGGATACAAGGAGTGGGCTGCTGCTCAGATCCAGAAGCAGAAGGATATTTTGAACTCTGCTCGTGCGGACCATACCAATGCCGTTAAGCAGAGGATCGAGAACGTCAAGCCCTTGAGTGGTGTCGTTGATGTCACCAAGCAGCTTTTCGAGGTCTCTAAGGTACGAATTGGATCTAGCATTGATGGTTTTTGATTGGTTTTTTGATGGAAGTTGGTGGGGATTGACTGATGTTGACTGATGTTATTTTGATAGGAGTCTGCTCGCTTGGAGGCTCAGGCTTTCGAGCTGGAGCAGCGAACTGCCCTTGCCGCTGAGGCCAAGAAGGTCCTTGAGTCCTGGGTTTCCTACGAGAGCCAGGTCAAGCAGCGTGAGCAACGCGAGTTGGCCGAGTCCGTCATTGCCAAGATCCAGAAGGAGTTGCAGAACCCTAAGATGTTGCAGCAAGTTCTGCAGCAGTCTGTTGCTGACGTTGAGAGTAAGTTGGCTTTATTCTTTGTCGTAGTTCTGTGAACTATCTACTAATACTATATGCTATAGGAATTGTTGCCTCCAAGGCTCAATAGATGGGGGGGACATGGTTACTTTCTTTCCCGCTTAGGCCTAGTTGTCGGCAGTATCATTTGTCAATTTAGTGTATAAAACCAAATAGAAGAGTCGCAATTCTGTGCCAGTATATTTTAACAAAGTTATACATTCTTATTCAGTTATATCTTCCTTGTAGCTTTGGGTGGTAACAATATCAAATTGGGTAATAGATATAGATTAATAAGATATAGCTAAAATACATGCAAATCGGGTATAAAAAAAAGACAAAAACAAAATACAAAAGTAAAATACAAAAATAAAATGCTCACATAAAATACAGACATAATCTTCATATAATTTTTTTTTGGTGTTTTCTAGTTCTTTTTCTTCCTCTGTTGGTTGCTCACGCTGCTCAGGTGGCTGAGCAGCCTCTCTCTGACTCCTGGGGAAAGGCGAACGGGGTTAATGGTACGGGCGGAAGATCTGGGATGGGGTGATCGCCCGCTCCTCCCTGGGCGGGAGGCGGCGGACGAATGCCTCATCTGGGAGGCCTTCAAACGGGAGGACAGGGACTGGGTAGACAAGACGGGCCAGCTCGCGGATGCGAGGGCGGTCTGCTTTGGCGGGAGTCATCCCAACGAGAACACATTCCTGCAGATCATCACTGTAGACATCATCGACACCACCATAGGGGTTTGCACCAGTCCAGTTGACCATGGAGAGACATTGGATGACGGTAGTAGCAGAGAAAACGTCACTTCGCGGGCTGCAGTTTGGGAATTCAGGGGCCATCCAACCTTCAGAGCCGTATGGAGCAAACGGGAGCTTCAGATCTTTCTTGGAGACACTGAGTCCAAAGTCGCCTAGTCTGATGAGGGGGTATTCTCCGGCAATGTCCAATGATTTGATGAAAATGTTTTCCAGTTTGATATCACGATGCAGGATCGGGTTCCAGTTTCTCTTGTCTGGAACGTTGTCATTTACGATCTCCCTATCGTTGCGGAGCCCAGTGTGCATGTAGGCGAGAGCACGGATGAGTTGACGAAAGACATGCCAGAGGAACGCCTCGGGGATCGGTTTTCCAGCAGAGGCCATCCACTGTTTGAAGTAAGCCAGGTTGCCAAGGTCACAGTACTCGAGGAAGAGTTCGCCCTTGTGCGGGCTGATGGATGCTTCGAGGTACTTTTCGACATTTGGATGATCCATGACACGCACGACTTTGACCTCCCTGAGCCACCGCCAGGGCTTCGCCTTCCCCCAGACGTAGAAACACTTCCGAACACAGACGTAGCCGTCCTTTTTGCGCTTGACTAGATCGACGGACTTTCCACACGCTGGTGCTTGGGGGCGGAGCTCGACGACCACGTCGTACTTGTGCTCGAGGTTATGGTGAACAATCTCTTCAAACTCTGGGTATGCACCTTCCAGAGCCTGGACTGACTGCAGACGAGCACGGAAGGCTTCAGACTCGACCTCGCGTCTGGCTCTGTCTGAAGGAGAGCTTTTCTTGCTTGAACGCATCTTTGCAAAGAGGTTGTTCAGGAGAAGTTCACTGTTTCCTGCAGCTGGCGTTAGTTATGGGCGTATCAACTTCAGAGACGTGTCTCTCTTACCTGTTTACGCGTAGAACGGCTCTTCTATCCTTGTAGAGAGCTCTTTGGTGATATCCTTTGCCGAGTCTATGACCGGCTGTATACGCGTCAGTAAGTGCTCCTAGACTATAGAAGAAGAGGGTACTTACCAGCTTGAAGAAGATAAAAGTAGCAGACAAGCTGAATGGTTGCCAGGATATGATGGTCTTGAGGCTATTCTCTGTGGTAAAAGGGCAGGTTGACTGGACAGTGAGCCTCCAGTAGCCAGAGAGACAGCAGCACAGCTACAGACAGTGTTAGCAGAAGACATCCCAATGGTATCCTGATGATATCCTGATGGTATCTTTGATGAGAGCAGCATCTGTAAGAGAGAGAACAAGACTGACCAGCCCAAGCAAACGTGAGGGCACTCTCCCAGAGGACAGAGAGTGCAAGGAGCCTTCAGGAAGAGTTGGGCCAGGGAGAAGCAGCTTTTATAGCAAGGAGAGAAGGGAGAAGCACGTGGTCTGTCAAGCCCTAGAAGTTGTTGATATCAAGCTGAGTTGAAGAAGTTGATGAAGTTGACAAGAAGAAGAAGAAGATGGTGATAATGAAGAAGAAGAGAAAGAAAACAAAAGAAGAAGAAGAAGAAGGAGAAGGAGAATTTATAGACAGAGACAGCCCACCTGCCTGAAGGGGACGAGTCAGGCTTCACTCTCTTCTCAGCTCGTCGTCGACGACAGACAGAGTGACAGACAGCATAAGCATAGTCTTAGTCATGGACAGTCTTAGTCAGTGATAGAGAGAGGAAGTTGTAGACAGTCATTGATAGTAAGAGAGGATAGAGAGGATAGAGAGGGTAGAGAGGATAGTAAGAGAGGCCTTCCATAGTCTTTGCAGTTGCTGATATTCATTCTCAGACAGGACATTACTACAGCTGGGTCTTGAGTCTTCGGTGACATGGGGTATCTATTACAGCATCATCATGGAGTCACAGGCGGGAAGACTGGCAGGGCAAGGTATAGGAGTGACACCATGCTATTCAAGATTGGTAGATGGTAGATCTTCTTAATCTACCACCATGGCTGAGTCGACATTCTAAAAGGCAGAGATGGGTATGAAGGTGGTATATTCTGCTGTCCTTGATAGAATTTCCTGAAAACAACATGGCTGACGATGGTATTTGGAAGTCTACAGAGCAGTTACGCGCCGACATACGATATAACATCTCATCAGTGGTCGATATAGTTATACCGACAGTGGCATAGACAGCCAGGGTATCGACGGCTGCAGTCGAGACAAGCAAACCGGGGACGGAGACAGGCTGAAGTCGAAGATGGGTCGGAAAAACGAAGATCAACCGCGAACTCAATCGCTGGGCCATTAACTAGTTAGTTAGTTAACTAGCTAACTCAGTTAACGAGTTGTCAAAGCTACTAGTTATGTAGTTACGATTTGATAACCGACCGCAGCGAGCTTCAAGCCACCGTCACATCGACAACCGGACTAGACGTGCAGTGAATAGCACTCCCAGCCATCGGCCAGAGACCCAGTCTTCCCGCTGTCCCGTTGGGGGGATCATAGCTATGCCGATTCCCTGACAGTAAATAGAGTCTGTGTCAGGGGAGAAAATACAACCAGCCATGATAATGAAGGCCGATAATGTCCCTGCGCCTCGTCCCCACCGTAGACTGTTTTGATTCTAATTGGCCCTGGCCTGTTTCCAGCGCTGGATGTTGCTTGGGCTGCGGCGGCTTAGGGGGGGGCTTACGCGCCCTGGGCAATTCTAAACCATCCATCCTTCACGGAGCCATATATAAATAAAACATATCGCCATGAAGAAGCGCCTAGAGCTCCTGTTTTATCTTCTCGTTTCCTCTATAAACTCCCCAAGATTCCCCGGATAAAGCGCAGACTTCTTCTCCCTTATACTTATAACCAGCGTGTAGACTAGGCTATACAGACGTCATCGCGGATACTCCGTCAGCCTACCTTGGGAAAACATCCATCCATGCCGCTGCTACGGCTTCACAAGAAGTCCGACAAGGACGCCGCAGACATGAACCACCCTCCGACTCAGACCTCCGAAGCGCCCGAGTTTCGCATCATCCGCTCAGATACCTACACCGAAGAGACAATCGATGCACCCCCCTTCCAGACGGTAGAAAGCCCCGGGACATCCCCGCGCAAGTCCTTTGGCCTCTTCCGCCGGTCCATCGACAGCGGGCGCAGCAGCCAGGACTCCCACTCGCCGCGGGAAAGCCGCTTCTCACGACTGCATATCGGCCGTCGGTCGAGGTCCGGCAGCTCCTCGTCCGTTAATATACCGGATAACCTGCCTGAGGTGGGGGATACCGGGGACGAGCAGGAGAGAGAGGCCCAGTGGGAGAAGCGGGCGACGATCCTGGTGCAGGGCGGATCGCATTCTCCTGCCTCGCTGGGGGTGCAGAAGGGCAACAGATCGCGAAGCTCGAGTGTTGGCAAAGTGAACGATCCAGAGGGAGATGTACGTTCTGCTTGCTACTTTTTGTTCTTACTTCTTTGCTGGGAGAGCGCAAACTGACGGCCTGTAGGAAACTATACAAGAAGCTATACGGCTGCATGAAGCTGGAGGTAAGCAACCTCACCCTGTTACTGCTCGCATGTCTATTGCACTGCTAACCCAACCCCCTTCAGATCTAGAAAAGTCAACGCACATCTTTGGAAAGCTGGCAGACCCCCAAGGACAGAATAACGCCTTGAGCCAAGTTCTCTTCGGCCTGGCCTTACGGTCAGTACTTCCCGCAATATCTACTTCAGGACTTACTTGAACTGACCCCCTAATCAGACACGGATGGGGCTGTCAACCCAACACCGAAATGGCAGTCCAATACCTTAGCGCCGCAGCGTCAAATTCAGCCTCTATTGAAGAAGAAGCCCTTCGCGCCGGCATGGTGAAAGGCGGCGCGGCAAAGGGTGAATTGGTGCTCGCTATCTATGAGTTGGCAAACTGCTACCGCAACGGATGGGGCGTGGCCAAGGATCCCGCTGCTGCTAGGCAGTATTATGAAACGGCTGCCAATCTGGGAGATACAGATGCCATGAACGAGGCCGGATGGTGTTATCTCGAAGGGTTTGGCGGGAAGAAAGACAAGGTAGGCCGCAGTATAACTGTACTGTATTCTACTGTTTGATAGACGTTGGAGGCTAATTCTGGGAACCTAGTTTACTGCGGCTAAGTATTATAGGCTGGCCGAACAGAATGGGAACAAGACGCTGGGGAATTCTTGGTATGTTCTTCTCCTAGCTATGGGTATATACTGAGGTACTGACTGTGATTACAGGATCTGGAAGGATAAATATAACCCAAAATAAAACCTCTTCAGATAAACCCCCCTTCGATGTAATTTGGACACGATAGTTACGACCATAATGACGATAGTAATGAAACGATCTCTCTCTCTTGCAAGTTATATGGAATTTAATTCTCCCTACATACCAAGCACCCTACCGAACCCATAGACATACAAAAATTAAGAAAGCGTAATTCTTGTTTCCGAAACACATCAACACCACAAGTATCCAATCCAACCAGGCTATGAGAAATAGATGAAAATAGTAAAACAAAAGGTTAATTATTCTGCTGTGCTCTCACCATCGCAGCGAGTCGTTTGTAATCTTCCAGCAGTTCAGGAATGTCTCCTACCTTTAACTCCGAAGCATTTCCCATATCCAGGAATTTCTGGATTCCAGGAGCCCCTCTAGCCACGGACGAAGGACCTGGCGACTTGGCTCTGGTGCTAGATGTCGCTGCAGCAGGATCAGGGGCCCGAGCCAAACCACGTATCATACTGGGGAAATGGCTGAGGGGGTTCAGCGAGGTTCCGAATCCCCGGACTGAGCCAAACCCTTGGTTTGTGCTACCGGTACTAGACGAGATAGATGATGCAGCAGTGTCATCTGATGCAGTCGTATCAGATCTATTGGTGCTTGAATCCCGTTTGGTGGTGCCTGGTCGTCTTCGCCCACCGACCAGCTCAGCCAGTCGATCATCAAGTGGCTGTCTGGAAGAAATGGATGGCGTCGGAGTAGGTGTACGATCACCTATATTCGACCCATCTTCACTGACGGTCTCGTCAGACGGAACAGTTCCAGCCTTCACTTGTACTAGTTTCCGTGCATCGTCTAGTGTCTTGGGCACAATGGGCGTGCCAGGTCGTGCATTATCACCTTGGGATATCTGGACTTCCTTCAGTCTCCCGAAAAGGAATGCAAAGCTGTTATCAAGGGTGCTGCTTATGCTCTTTAGCCCCTGGTCGGCGGTACTTCGCACGATATCATTTGCTGCTCCAAGAGCCTTGGCTGGAGGCTGGAAGAGATCGGATAGTCGTTGCTGAGCAGAAGGGTTTGTGGGTAGGGTAGGCCGTGCGGACGGCGCAGTGCTAGTGGTGTTTGAAACTGTGGACGGGCTCTTCTCAAGGGCCTCATCTGAGTTGGAATCCATGGGTGCAGGGTGCAGCAGGTTAAGGTCAGGCTGGTCAATAGGTGCCCTGCCTTCTTCCATACGAAGGTTGGTCAGATCGACGTTCTCAAGGAAGTCGATGGCAGCCTCCAGGTTGGTGAGACAGTATGCGGTTTCACCGTCGATCTTACTTGATGACCTGAATCGTTGGATGAAGTTGAGGTTGCTGATGATATTAACCCCTTCCGGCGGCGAGAGGATAAGGGTATAGATCAGGGTAGGCAGAATCTCATCTGCAGATGATGAGGATGGGAGGATGTTTGTCAACGCATCTACGATTGCCTTGTGAGCGGCTACGAGCTGTTGGAGTTTTCCAAGAGGGTATCTCTCGTCGTTCATCCGTATCAAACATTGACGTGCCGCCGCAACACACTCCTTTGGATCAACCGTTTCTTCGGCACCTTGTTTGGATATGTCTACTCCAAGGTCCTTCAGTTCGATGCCCATTACCAACAAGGCAGCCGTCTTCGAGCGTAGCTTTTCGTCTCGAACATCGTCTATCGTGCTCCGGTGCCGCCAGATCTTATCATAGATAGTTTCGCATGCTCTCCGCTCAACAGCCTCTTCAAGGGCATGCTGTTTAAACTGGAGTAACTTCCGCGCCTTACGCTTCTCTGCCACTTCTTCAGCTGTGAGCATTTGCTGCTCGGGCGTATCCTTTTGCGTGCCATGGGAACTCGTAGGACGTCTCGAAGATCTTGACGCCTGTGATTGAAGAGAGGATGCAGAGCTGTTACGGTGCAGTCGGGACGCTAGGGTAGAAACATGTGTTGAGATATGAGATCCAGCTCGGACGTAGAAGTCCTGGAATAAACCCGAGAGCGTATCTATCGATGGAGGTGTACTGAAGGTTTTCGCACTGAGGGAAGCGATGAATCTGCGATTAAAACGTAAAGTATTAGCACTGGCATTCAAAAGAAGGAAGAGACAATATCTTGCGCGCACTTACCTATCTGTCAGGCTAACCAGCTCTATCGGGAGCTCTGCGAATTGCTCGGGAAGCTCAGCAGGCGGCTGTCCGGCAGCTGGTTCTGCACTCTCGCCCTCCCCCTGAGACCCCTCAGGAGCTTTCTTTTCAAAGACATCTTCTGGCTCTTCCACCAGTCCGTGTCCAGGTGAGGACAACGGATCCTCCGCCACCACCTGCATGGCTTCACCCACGGCCTCAGCTGTCGAATCTATTCGAGAGAAAGGACTGCTGTTCTCAAGCCGGCTGAACGAGTTGGAACCCCCACGCTTCTGCATCTGAGACGAGGAAGCGTGATCTTTCTTTTCTGACATCTCTGCTCCCTCCTGCCTCTAAAAAGCAGGCATCAAACCATGGGCTATTCAGATGATATGTGACTTAGCTCCCCCTGTCGTCCCTTCACGCGGATGCTCCCGTCCTTGTTCAGTGTTACACTTGGGCGTCAAGTAGGGCCTTCACGGGATTTCTCTTGACGCTGTACAACACTCTCCGGCGTTTCCCCTTCGCCGTCCACATTAGAATCGACGTCAGTGCCAGCCCGTCGCCCCCTTTTCTTTTTCGTCCCTGTGCCTTCGAGCTAGACTGACGTCCAGCTGGTCCCGTCCCTACCTTGCATTGCAGCTTGATATATCAACCATCCGAACAAGGTTCATCCTAGCCGCGCGGGTCGTCGGAGATAAGATAATCCGTGACGTCATGTGGGCCGCTTAGTCAGAATCCGGGGGGCCTTTTCTCGGGGCTTCTGGCGTCACTCCAGGCTCGCTCTCCATCCCGGCGTCAACGACCTCTTCTGCTGTCCATCCATCAACGTCAAAGGTCTTCAGCGAAGGTGTTTGCTATATTCTTAGACGCCATATATATTTGTCAGTATTATGGGTAACAGATACCTATAGCCATCGACCGTTTTAGCCGCATGATGTTGGACTCGTAATAAAGAGGTCTAGTTGAACCTGCTATCGACCACGATGTTGCCGACCAACATCCTACTATCCCTACTCGCCGTTTCGTCATCGTACGTATCGGCTTCTCCTCAAGATCGGTATGGAGCAGATCAGATAGCTCTTGTGCCGTCAGAGGAGGCTGGAGAAGAGCCCCAGTCTCTCCGAACTACTCATCAGTTTGTAGGTGACTCCCTTGACCCCGGAGGCGATGGTGATGACATGCACTAACACCCTGGGTAGTCACTTCGGCATGTATTCCATCACGGCACCTATGAGAACCCTACTTTACATAAACGCCTCGATGTCGAGCCCGATGCAGATCTATGGATGGAGTCAGAGGATGGCCAGAAGGTTGAGCTGCCAAAGACCTTCGAGGCCTCAGGACAGCCGGTGAAGATTCAGCGACTCACGGATCGACGACCGGAAGTTGTGGAAGGTAGGCTTCAGGCGGCACGGAACCCAGGCCTTGCAAGCTTTATACCTCCTCCGGAATGGACAATAGACGACGTTTCCGGCCCCGATATAACTGATAGGCAGACTATTCTTAGTCTGGCAAAGATGACTGCCAACGCCTATATTCAGAAACCTGGAACTTCACAATGGCTAAGCCTAGAACATACCCCTTGGAAACACTCTAATAGGTTTGGGTGGGAAAACGATGGCCTCCGGGGCCATATTTACGCCGATAAGGGTAACATGACCATCATCATCGCCCTGAAGGGGACATCTGCCGCTCTCTTCGATGGCGAAGAGACTACAACCAATGACAAAATCAACGACAATCTCTTCTTCAGCTGCTGCTGTGGACAAGGTGGACAGTACTTCTGGCGACAGGTTTGTGACTGTTATACGACAACTTATACGTGTAACATCACCTGCGTAGCTTCGTCACTTAGGTCCGAAAATCGGTACTACAGGGCGGCTCTAGACCTCTTTGCAAATGTGACTGAGCTTTATCCAACATCGAATGTTTGGATAACGGGACATTCACTTGGCGGTGCAGTCTCCAGTATGCTCGGAAGAACATACGGACTTCCTGCTGTGACATTCGAGGCCGTCCCTGAAGCACTCCCCATTTCACGCTTGGGTATTCCCGTGCCTCCAGGAGGTGATCCACATACGCCAGATGCTGACTACTCGGGTGCTTTCCACTTTGGTCACACTGCCGATCCCGTCTATATGGGTAGCTGCAACGGCGCAACGTCAATCTGCACGCTAGGCGGTTATGCAATGGAGTCTGTATGTTTCACCGGCAAAAGATGTGTATACGATACAGTCCAAGATTTAGGCTGGCGTGTTGCTATCGGCACCCATCGAATTGTCAATGTGATCAATGACGTACTTAAAAAGTACAAGACTGTCCCGTCCTGCCAGCCGGATAAAGCATGTGTCGACTGTCCTAACTGGAAGTTCTTCCGGAGCAATGGCAGCGAACACACCACCACAAAGACGACAAGCACTACCCCAACCGCCACAAGGACCGAAACATGCAAGACTCCTGGCTGGTGGGGGTGCCTTGATGATACCACTAGCCAGACTAATCACCCCTCCACTTCGACGTCTTCCACCTCGGCTAGTAGCACGTCTACGTGTAAGACGCCGGGATGGTTCTGGTGCAAAGATAAAAGCACCACGGAGACAAGTACAACGACTACCCCGGGAACTACTTCCAACCCTCCCACAACTACGCCAAAGTCAACCTCTGCTACCACCACTACCTGTGAAACGCCAGGGTGGTTCGGGTGTAACGACCCAACAACAACATCGACCACAACAACGTCGACAAGCCCATCCCCCTCCTCTTCATCCTCCTCCTCATCGACTACCACTACCTGCAAAACACCGGGAATCATATGGGGGTGTAACGACGTTACCAGCACAACTACATCATCCTCCGCAGCAGCTGGAAGTACGTCAACCTGCAAAACGCCAGGAGTCTTATGGGGCTGTAATGATATTACAACTCCTGCATCAACTTCCGCAGCTGCCAGAACCACATCAAGCTGCAAGACGCCTGGAATCTTATGGGGTTGTAATGATGTGATTACAACTCCTGCATCAACTTCCGCAACCTCCAGCACTACACCTACTTGCAAAACTCCTGGCATCCTATGGGGCTGCAATGACATCAGCACTTCTCCGACCGCCGGCACCTCGACTCCCACGCTGACGCCACACATCAGGCCAACAGCAACTGGTTAAAACGTGGGTACCTCGGTCCGAAATTTTCATTTTTTTTTTGGCTGTGGGCAATAGTTTGCCATCTCTATTACAATCTACTTCCATCTACCAAAGAACCCTAAAGAATGAGCTTATGATAATTTGTTCGGGCTTTGACTGACTTCTTGACATGTATTACGTGTTGCCATCTTTACCCGGAGCAGTATTGAAAGAAATTGGTATCTAGTCTGGTGTTATTTGGCTGCCTGCTACCGTTTTAGATTTTGTTTTGTATGGCTATAATTGGTTGATTTCGGCATTGATAAGGGTATCACAAGGCAAGCGATTTTAGGAATATATTTATATTACTAGACATCTTTTCCACCACTTCCTTCCCTGCTCCAGCTCCATTATGCAAGAACAACAGCTTTTTTTTTTACCAAGACTCTCCAAACACCAAGGAAGCCATCGTGACGACAAGTTGGTGGCCCTTTGCAGCGAGCATGGGGTTGTTGCGGACAACAGGGCCCCTTTTTTGAAACATGGATCCTTACTCAGTCCTCCCATGCTGGACGATAACTAAGGCGTGCCATGATTCGAACAACGGACGAACATACGAATCACACACAACAGCAGACGTCAGCCATGGTTCGCTCTCCCTTTCTTCGCCAACCAGGCGTTCGTCCGTCCCGCCGCGTGATGAAATATTTGTCGACCTTGAAAGGACGATATATGTGGTTGTAAGCTACTAGTGTCAATAATCATCCACTTCCGAGCCGGGGGTCGACCAGCCACTAATTCCCAGACAGGAAATGAGTCCAAAAGCCTCTCAGCCCAGAAACGCCGCCTTACTGCTCCATATTTTTGTTTTACGTCCATCCGTCACTTTTGGTGGCGGCGGACAGGAGCTTGACTACTCCGTATTATTATTTTTTTTTTATGAACCCAGAAGGTCTTGACCAGCCAGGCAGAGAGAGGGCTGGGGGTTGCAGCGGCACAGCTGGCAAGGTTCCTTTGCCCTTTTTCTTTTCTTTTCCTTCTGCCCTGCCCGCCGTCTGCGGGTGAGATGAAAGCTGGCCCGGATCTTCTGGACGACAACCACTAGCAAACGGACGATCGCATTGCACTGAGAAGTATCATGACGACCAGGGCAATGCGATGAGTCTCCTCCGATACGAACAGTGGCGAGCTCTTATTTCTCAGGAGTAAATAGGAGTTGTTAAATCCGGGGAGAGCTGGTGCACGGCTTGCTTAAAGAACATCATGCCCGACCTTTGCGCTGGTCTAGCTTGAAAATCGAATCAGTCCAAGTTTTGGTGCTTCTCTCCGCATTCGTTACCAAAGAAAAAAAGGTAGGATCCCCCAGCGGGTGCGGCGACGATCAGATCTGGCCAGCGTCGAGTCGAGTCGAGAGTGCGTCAAGCCTGTATCGAGAGTCGTTTGATGTGCAGATCGGGCCAATACGCTCCCGCCCGCCGTCTTCTCCTCTGCCACACTTGAGGGGAGGCAATGCGTTGTGTGACGTTGTTTGTGAGACGTTAACGAGAAAGACTGTGATATAACTCTTGTCAACTCCGTGACGGACGGTCTTATCTCAGGTCTCTTCTAACGGGCGTGCCCATTTTTCTCCTGTTCCTGGGGCATGGTAGAAGAAGGGGAGAAGCGCGCGGCAAGAGACGAAAAATGGAACTTACCTTCATCACTATCCACGGCAAGTTATATCATTTCCTTAAGTCTTATATTGCCTCCCCCTTTTACTGTAGCTTTGCAGCTCTTGAACCAACATCCCTAGCCCCGTCTCCCTCTGCTGTTCATGATATGATTCTAACGAAAGGGGACAGATCTCTCTCCTGATGCCCGCACCCGCTACGTCTCTAGTGCGATAGAAGATATCCTTGGCTACCTGCCTCCAGAGGTGCTCAACAGGCCAATATGGGAGTTCTTCCACCCTGATGAGCTGTCGCAGGCGCGTACGATCTATTCGCGCTCTGTTAGACATGATAAGGCCGCGGGGTTGAACTATTTTCGAGTCAGGCACAAGCATGGCCATTGGGTTGCATGCGAGTGCGTCTTTACCATAGTCTGCGATGTCCTGATTGCCAGTACCAGCGTCTACCATCGGGGGAAGCGAAGCCAGAGTAAGCCCTTCTATACCTTTGCCTACGGCTGAGAACATGCTAATCATCTAATGTAGTGCGCGCTGCTGATGCTCC